TTGTGAGCACAACTGGAATGGACACTCTAGTGTCAGATGGTGCAATGAGTCAGACCCCAGTGTGTATTGAAGCCCCTTTGGGATGTGGGGGAGGAACAGAGAAGGGTAGAGCATGTGGGGTGTTTGGAGGGGGCGAGGGGGACAGGGGTGTGTTCGGGGGTAGATGGTGGGAGAAAGCAGGAGAAAAATTGAGTGGGGAAGGGTGGGAGGGGGGTTAGAGGGAAGGAAATGAGCGAGGGTTGGTGGAGAGAGCAAAGAGCCAATCACAGTGACTATGGTCTGGAAGCATCCAATTGCAGCTAACCTGCCCACAGGCTACGCACATTTAGCATAGCCCCCCTCCCTCAGGCTCATGCTAATTTTCACCTCCTGCCCGTGCCGATGGCAGGTGATCTGGCTCAGGTGGCAGATGAGGCCAAACAGAAGGTAGAGCATGTGTACCCAGGCATACATTATTCTGCACCTGGGGCCACAGTTAGGCAGTCCAGCATAGCTTGGTCTTCAGATTCAGTCTTATGTCTTGTCATCTACAGCAATGGCATGGCGTATGTGACCGCACGTTGATTTATCGTGCAAGTTATATAGGTTGCTTAGCCTGCATCATTTTAGGACCTCTTTATTAGTAGCAGCTCTTATAGAGTGCTTCAACAAAACTGAGATTTTGGATCATCGTTCAAAGGCAATGGCAGTTGATCTTCAGCAAGGTATGTAATATTATTGATTGCATGAAGTAAAAGAGAATGTTTTTTTTATTCAGTTCGATTTTGAAGTTAACTCTGTGTAACTGTTTGACTTGGCAACAAGACTGCTGGCTGGAAACATTCGTGCTCTGAACTTATGAACTGCATTATGACAAACATGAGAGAGAGAGAAAAAAACTACAACATGTCTTGCTGATCTCAACAGTTTTAAATTCAATTAAGTTTTCTACAACATCCATATATGTACACATACTTAAAATGTTTTGTGTGTGTATGTGTGAATAGTCTTAATCAGGAGTGTTATTGACACGGGGCATATTTTATCATCAAAGTGAGGTAAAAAAAAACTTCTGAAAGTTTTTAGTGGGGGGGGGGGGGGGGCGAGGCTGCGGTGTGTGGGGGGGTCCCCTCTCTGATGCACTGCTTAGATTTGGTTTATTTGGACAGCCTCGTGTTCTGCGTGGTGTGTGCAAGGGCATGCGCCCAGTGGGACTTGAGGTATTACAGCACTACTCTGGCCACACAGAGTCCACGCCTGTCCCTTCGCGAAATTCAAGGAAACATAAAATTCCTGTTGGTTTGTGTCTGCGTGGAGAGCGGGGGAACTTGACCCGAGCGTGTTAGCGTCCACTGTGCCAAGAATGTTGTTGGGAGAATGAGCCTCAACTAACCCTCTGGAGGTCCCTTCTAATCAAACCTCTTTTTTGTTTTCTTCACCTGTTGTGATCACGATGATGTGCGCACAGTGCTGTAATGATATTATTGTTAAAAGGGATTGCTACTCGCCTGTAAAATCTACCGTAATTGTTGGAATGACGTACAGTTGTTGTTGTTGTTATATTGCTCTGGGGGTGGGGGGAAAAACAAGCCTGCGAAATCAGCGAGGGCCATCGTTGTAATTGAATCACTTGAGTCCCGATGGGATTGCTTGCCTCGTGTTACATGTTGTGCAATTTTTTATGCAGTTATTTATATCATTTTTGAGTTTACTCCCCCCCCACACACACACACACGATTGTCGGTTAACACACACACATTAATACAAACTCGCAAAATAACAAAAACAAACCCCTATCGATGAACTGAGAACAATGAAAGTTACTGGTTGGGTCAACATTTACTAAGAGTCTAACATATAAAAGCTAATATTACCAGATGCCTAACTCTAAATGACAACGCTTTGTGACCCGTGACCCTAACTGTAACCCTATACCTTTATTTTTTGGTATTAGTTTTGCAAAAAGTAGACCTACGGTTGAAAGGACCAAATACTATTTTTTCTTTATTTTGAAAATTAATTTACACAGAGTATGTACTTCTCGCCTAAAATCAACTGCATTACATTGAACACTTAAATTACATTTTCAGTGGCACATTAAGGTTTTCCAATTTGTGTAGAAAGTCCTACAATAAAAAAACTCACATTTTACAGTAACCAGTGATTTATTCATTGAAGAGCAAAGTGTTCCTCTAAAAGTATTGCCAAGACAAATACACGCTATTGAGTGGTACGTTGCATGTTGGATAAGAGTCGAGTCTGTGGGGTCGCAGAGAAGACCACACAGCTTGTACCAAGGCAGGAAGCCTGTACGTGTCTGCTCTCTGTCCCTGATTGAGTTCGGGTTAACTTCAAACATTCTGGCACCTCTGGTCTGTGTGTGTGTGAGATGCTTGATGCAGGTGACTGTTCCGGCATATGGATTGTCTCTTGAACATTTGCGAAGTTCTTCACCACCAACTTGACTCCCCACACTTTCCAATTCCCCACCAGGGTGCGACTTAATTTGCACCTGTTGCTGGCAGGCGGCTGTTACTGCGTTGCTTGTGCATGTGTCCGTGCGTGCATGTGTAGGCGCCCGTGTGTGCGCGCGCGCGTGTGTGTGTCTGCGTGCTCACGTGTGCATATGCACGCGCGGCTGTTCACGCCAGCAACAATGAGCTTTCTGTGTGCTCGCCTTGTTAGTTAGTGCAGATCAGTGAGCTTTGGGAGCGAGTGGATCTGAGATCCCTGGGCTCTTTGCCGCTTGTCGGCTCTTGGAACGAGTCACAGCAGGTGCCAGAGGAGGCATGGAACGCTGGATATAGCAAGGTGTCTCAACACCGCTTTACATTTTAATGAACTCGGGTCACAGCTTCAAGGCAGTGAAGCAATGTGGTTTGCTGGTGTGTGTGTGTGACATGCTGTAGTCATTTTTTTTCTTTTTAAGGCAACGTTGGTGACAAGTGTGTCATTTTTTTAGTTAATTTTTATTTGTAAAGTCATAGGAGTGGCAAGAGCGGTACAAGTTTGTAATAATTGGGTCACTTTCATATTGACTTGTTTTTAGCATGCGGGTGCCGAGGGAATCTTCATCATGAAGTTGCTGCTGCCGGGTACATTTCTCCAACTCAATGCCACAGGCCCATGGTCGGTTACTTGGGGCATGTTGCCGAAATCCATATCACTGGTACATGTCCCTAGAATTAATCGTTTTTATCTCATCTTTGGTTGTCACCTAATTCATGCTATAAATCTCTTTGCCGTTATATAAATCTCTTTGCCGTTATTGGGTCACTTGAGATTTGTCCATCGGTTGACATTGCTGTGAACAGTAAATGTCCTGCCAAGGTCCGGTTGTGTGATAGTGATGTTTCGGGTTCTAGATTGTTTTCTAAAATCTGCATTTCTTTCAGCTTTACACGTCGGTACAATTTGTGCTTGTTACTCTGTTTTGGGATGTTCAGGTTTGAAATACATGACAGTGATTCATATTACGGCGGCACTGATTCATAGGTCATAGTTGGCAGCCATGGCTTCTAGATAAGCAGTCAAATAATATTGTCTACAAATACAACACTATGTAGCTCACAAGAAAGTAAGGAGTGTACAAAACACAGTACCAATTAATATTCTTGAAGTTTAAAATAACCACAATAGTCTCCACACAAGACAAGTATATTAAATATAGCATATGAATCATGTATTTTCTCATATTTTTACTGCGGGTTTATGGTAAAGGAATATAAGCGTACAAAGTGGAATATGCACGGTGCTGTAATTCTATAGTCAATCAAGCAATTGAGTTACATAAGGCCTTTCCATGGATGTGGCAGCTTCGTGTGTTTGAAATTAATGACCCTACTAAGGCTTTTGCAACACAATTCTCGGCCGTATTCAAGGCTGTCATAAATTAAAATTGCTGATGCGAGCAGCCTGGAAATCTTCAATTAAATGACGGCAGTTGAATTAAAAACAAAAATTTCTTATGCCGAATTCACGTGTACGTGGGAGTGTGAATTTGCTACTTTTAAATTAATTGTCTTCTGTTGAAATCCCAATAAGCGTCGAATAGATCGAATTATATCTTTTCCAATGCCACTCTATTCATAATAATCATCAGCATCTCAAAAGCAGTGCAAGCAGTTCTCAATATTAAAGTACGTGCAACTAAATTGTGGTTAGTTTTTCGAATATACGAAAACACCTAATATCTGCAATCACTGCACAAAACTGTATACAATATGTTTTAATGTTGGTTCATTACTATGACCACAATTAGTTGCATTAACCTGTTTGGGAATTTTTTATGGAAATATATTTGACTCTTTTGAATGTATTGGCTTTCTCAACGTTGGGAAAGTTTGGCCATTTTCCAATCTGACTGACGACACATGGGCAGAAAAAAACTTAGTTGTGCCATGTCAAGCCTCTAGACAAAAGGGGACAGGGATTTTCATTGGTGCAGTTCGCTGCAAGGTGTTGACCCACTCTCTATCTCACCTGACGTCAACGCACCCATGGAAACAGCTAGATAAGAGACACTTTACCCCACTAGAGAATTATATACATAAACAATGCCAGGCAAGTTAGCAATTTCAGAATGTTTTCACGCTTTGTGCTTTCTGATTTTGAATAATGACTGGAATTATTTGTCTTAAAAAACGAGAGCATTATTAAGTTGCTACCCCTGATAGTTATTCAGCTATGAGTGTGCTATGTGACAGTCACTTATAGAACTTAGAAATCTACACCAGTGGTCACTTAATTTAGATATATTATCTTGTCTGTGGCTGTTTACCTTTCGACTGGGAATGTAATCTTGTTCCTCTGGATTATAAAATACATCACGTTGCCCGCCACAGCATGCTGTCTTCTGGCTGCTGCTGCTGCTGCTGCCACCGCCAAGATACGCATCACACTGAGAACGGCAATTGGGGTAACTGACACGTGCTCGGTAGGTGTGCTCAGTAGATGCGCTCTTGCGTTGCACCGCGTTGCTGATTTGTGTGCGCCTCGTCCCCCCGTGTGTCGCTGCGCAGTGGTGAGCTTCGAGAACGTGGTGATGCGAGAGTGTGACCTGGAGGAGGATGATGACCGGCTGCACATCGTGGAGGATGTGGAGGACCAGGAGGACGAGGATGATGATGGGCGCTCGGGGATAAACGACGGCCAGAGCGAAACGGCCGATGGTGGCGGTGAGCTCAGCCCTTCGCAACCAGCCGAGATGGCCCCTCTGGTCAGGAGGAGGGGCCGGAGGAGAAAGGGAAGCTTCAACTCAGATGAGAAGGACCATGCTGACCATGGTATGCAGCAATACTTAAGCTGGAGTCTTCGACACATTCCGTTACACATGCATATTGAAGTGATGTCTTGGTTTGCTGCACAGCAGTTGAAACATGGTAGTACCTTATTCCCTGGATTATCATTACACTTTTTCCTGTGTGTGTTTTTTAAAGTAAATGTTTGGATTGAGTCTTATAATCCAGAGAAAAACATTTGTCTTTTGGAAGACTTGGTTTAATCTAGTTGTTTCGAATTATCATCTGCAAAACGATTCTCCATACCAATACCGTATCACCCAGAGGGCAGAAGACTAACACCAGCCATTCAGAATAGTATTTCAGGAGACATTTGTCCCAATTTTAAATCAGCACGTTGATAATTGTCTGTAGGAAGATTGCTCTCCCTGGTGCCATATTCTTCCGATGGCAAAGCACACTTTTTTCTCTCTCAAAATGACCCGACATTTTCGGAGTGCGTCTTACTTTCATATAATTCAGAGAATACACGAAAAAAGAATGCCCCATTATTATTCAGGAAAGCTTCACTCTCAGCCTCAAGACTCTTTCATGATGGTCCTGTATTGTGATGCTTGGCCAATTCTATTTTTGTTTCCATTTAGTTCCATAGTTCCATTGATTTGGTATAGCCCTGTGAGCCATTCGGCTCTTGAATCGGGTGCAACCGCAACAAACAAAAAACAAAAACATGAACAAGAAAACATCTTAAAGTGACTATGTGACTGTGCAAACAGAAAATCCAGGAAAAAAACATCAAAATATTCCTGAAATAGCACCGTACACCAACGCTGTGTGAAAAAATCCCGAGCATTAAGGATGAGGAAACCAGAGTTATACTCTTTGGTTCTATTCGGTAAAGTCACGTAGGTAAAAAATTAAACATAAATCACGACGTTTCGGCCACAACACAAGTGGCCTTCATCAGGTGAAGGGATTGGACTGTCCAGAGGACAGCGTTGGAGTGAAGACAGCAAGCCCAGGTCGCGTCCTTTAAGCTGTGTGGGAGGAAACAGAAAATGCCTTGACAAAGGAATTAGCATAAAGTGATGTACTACTGTGAAAGCTTGGAAATTAGCATAAAATGCTGTACTACTGTGAAAGTTTGGGATGCCACTACTTGAATAAATATACTGTACCAATGAAAATTATTTTAATGTTTGGTATGATTTAGAACAACGGAGTTCTCAGGACAAACCCAACTCGTGCACAGGATAGCACGCGGAGCTACCACAGAGAAAGTAAAACGAATTTTCGTACTGCCATCTCCTGGTCACCTCCCAGCCCAGAGAGTTTGGGAGTTTCACAAATACGCTTGATCCAACGGCCTTCGCTTGCCAAAGTTCTGGACCATAGGCGTGCACCTTCAAGCCTTGCTCTGTTAACACAGCCGGAGACAATAGGTTGCCAACTAAGTAAAGAGCAGGCAATGAAGGTAAATGGAATAATGTGACTCATTCAGCAGAGTGTATACATGTTTACCCCAAAATAACATTTGAATCAAATCGTGTGTTTGATTTCTACCTGCAAAATAATTACATTGGGGAACAAATCGTCCAGGCAAACAACTTGAACATATCAGCATGCAGCAAGGAGCTGTTAAAGGCATTCATGCAATTATGTATCTATGCGTAATAAGAATAATGCTGCTTCAATATGTACTTCAATAAAGTATTTCTAAACCTGTGTACATTGTGTAGCTCATTTCGGTTGTTGTGAGTAGTTACGTGTTGACTTTTAATATTGTGTTTTACTTTGTTGGAGGAATGTTGTACTTATGTCATTTGTAAGTCTGCATGTGCTGTGGATCCTAATCCCTGTCTGGTTTATTGGCTAGATAAGCGTTGAATTGCTTTGAACTACGCGCACTTTTTAATATCCCTTGACAACAATGAAGTTTGTTTCATTTCCATTCATGTGTAGGTGCAAAGGTTGTCCTTGCATTTACATTTCAGCAAGTTATTATTATTATTTATTTTCAAACCCGTGCTGCGAATATAATTTTTACAAATATATTTGCATAATGGAATGCAAAGAATTGTGTGTGTGTGTGTGATTGCAATATGAAGTGTTGAACCTAAGGGATAGTACTTGCACTATTTCTGCAGGTGTGCAGCATACTCCATAAAGGTGGTCAGGTTCGTGGTCAGAGTGTCTCTTGAAGTGACCCATCTGCTACCAGCCAGAGGGACAATAAAGACTCAGTGGTCCCTAATAATGAAATCTGTGTAAGCATGGCCAGGTAACTGCACAGGTGTCCTTAGGCAGGTGAAAAGAGGGTGATGCCTATTGGGAATTGACTCGCTTCACCTGTTCACACAGGTCAATAGTCACCTCTCTGTCTCCCTTTTGTGCAGAGGATGTGAAGGATCAAAGTGATGGCCTGGGGCTTGAAAATCTACTTCTGTCCCAAGTGGAGCAAGGTATGTTTTGCAGAGAGCTGTTCTTGCAGTGTTCTGAGCTCACAGGTATACAGTGAGGGAAAAAAGTATTTGATTCCCTGCTGATTTTGTACGTTTGCCCACTGACAAATAAATGATCAGTCTATACTTTTAATGGTAGTTTTATTTGAACAGTGAGAGACAGAATAACAACAACAAAATCCAGAAAAACGCATGTCAAAAATTGTTTAAATTGATTTGCATTTTAATGAGGGAAATAAGTATTTGACCCCCTCTCAATCAGAAAGATTTCAGGCTCCCAAGTGTCTTTAATACAGGTAACGATCTGAGATTAGGAGCACACTCTTAAAGGGAGTGCTCCTAATCTCAGCTTGTTACCTGTATAAAAGACACCTGTCCACAGAAGCAATCAATCAATCCGATTCCAAACTCTCCACCATGGCCAAGACCAAAGAGCTCTCCAAGGATGTCAGGGACAAGATTGTAGACCTACACAAGGCTGGAATTGGCTACAAGACCGTTGCCAAGCTGCTTTGTGAGAAGGTGACAACAGTTGGTGCGATTATTCGCAAATGGAAGAAACACAAAAGAACTGTCAATCTCCCTCAGCCTGGGGCTCCATGCAAGATCTCTCCTCATGGAGTTGCAATGATCATGAGAACGGTGAGGAATCAGCCCAGAACTACACGGGAGGATATTGTCAATGATCTCAAGGCAGCTGGGACCATAGTCACCAAGAAAACAATTGGTAACACACTACGCCGTGAAGGACTGAAATCCTGCAGCGCCTGCAAGGTCCCCCTGCTCAAGAAAGCACTATACATGCCCGTCTGAAGTTTGCCAATGAACATCTGAATGATTCAGAGGACAACTGGGTGAAAGTGTTGTGGTCAGATGAGACCAAAATGGAGCTCTTTGGCATCAACTCAACTCGCCGTGTTTGGAGGAGGAGGAGGAATGCTGCCTATGACCCCAAGAACACCATCCCCACCGTCAAACATGGAGGTGGAAACATTATGCTTTGGGGGTGTTTTCCTGCTAAGGGGACAGGACAACTTCACCGCATCAAAGGGACGATGGACGGGGCCATGTACCGTCAAATCTTGGGTGAGAACCTCCTTCCCTCAGCCAGGGCATTGAAAATGGGTCGTGGATGGGTATTCCAGCATGACAATGACCCAAAACACACGGCCAAGGCAACAAAGGAGTGGCTCAAGAAGAAGCACATTAAGGTCCTGGAGTGGCCTAGCCAGTCTCGAGACCTTAATCCCATAGAAAATCTGTGGAGGGAGCTGAAGGTTCGAGTTGCCAAACGTCAGCCTCGAAACCTTAATGACTTGGAGAAGATCTGCAAAGAGGAGTGGGACAAAAACCCTCCTGAAATGTGTGCAAGCCTGGTGGCCAACTGCAAGAAACGTCTGACATCTGTGATTGCCAACAAGGGGTTTGCCACCAAGTACTAAGTCATGTTTTGCAGGGGGGTCAAATACGTATTTCCCTCATTAAAATGCAAATCAATTTATAACATTTTTGACATGCGTTTTTCTGGATTTTTTTGTTGTTATTCTGTCTCTCACTGTTCAAATAAACCTACCATTAAAATTATAGACTGATAATTTCTTTGTCAGTGGGCGAACGTACAAAATCAGCAGGGGATCAAATCCTTTTTTTCCCTCACTGTATGATCATTGTTGCATATCCACCGCTTGGACAATGGCTAACCTGTGATGTCGCCATCCATCACAGTCCTGCAATACCAGTATCCATCAGTGGATTATTATTGATCGTCAAGCACATGATGCAGGTATCAAATTATATGCGTAAGAATCAATGTTTCTCGATTCGTATATGTCGTAGGTCATGGGTTCATGTGATCCCTCCAGACACTAGATGCCGCTAAATTCAATAGGATGTTTAAAAAAGTATAGATTCTTTAATCGAATCGTGACCCTGCATTGAGACAAAAATGTAATCACAAGGGGTGATAAATTATTCAATCCCAAAGTAATTCTTTAGAATCCCAAAAAATATACAAACACAAGCGTAATTTTAGGACTAAATAAGTAAAATTGTGGAATAAAATAAAATACCAAAAAAAATTCCCCACCGGATAACAGCTCATGTCAATGAAATTTAGTAGAAAAATGCTATCATAGTTACATGTGTGTGGTGGGGAATGTTGAGTTTATCGTGAATTAAACACAAGTTAATCACATACAGTATCCATGCACTTGCTTCTATTAGACATTGTAAATATATATTTTGTTAATATGCTTAATTTGTCTGGCAATATTTTTAATCCAAATCACTAAATGTTTGATGAAAATTGGTGAAAACAAATGGGTAATCATCACAGAACTTTAGCATTAATTTGAAACGTCATCCCTCTTACTGGAAAAAAAAAGTCGGAAAAACTTTCATGGAAAATATTTTAACAGTGAAATCTGCAACTATAAATATTTGGCCCTGTTCATTTATTGATAGTGGGTATGTAGACACACATTAATAATAAATGTGTTTGATGTGGCTGGGTGGCTCCAGGGGCCAAGGCTATGTCTGAACGTCTGATTTCAGGTATTAAGCAAACACGCTGAATTCCTGTATTCAAATATTCCATTGGAGACAAAACCAGGTTCTTCATGAGTTTTACGGTCTGAGTCCAGTAATCAATTCGGGACGATAAAGAAAGATGCAGCTCTGCAATTAAATTCTCAGACCGCTGATGGAAGAACGGTCTCTGCGAGATGGAACCCTTAAAGGCCCCTCTCGAGGGAACGTTGGCCCATGTTTGCATGCTGGCTAAAAGTTATAATTTACTGCACACACAAAAAAAAACAAGTATAAATTTGACATTGCACTCATTTCTATCACCCCATTTCTAAGACCTTAATTGGTAGTGTCAAGGACCACTCACTTACCTGCAGAGCGAAGGAAGCATGGCTTTTAGGGCCAATGCATGACATATGCTTAAAGCATTTAAACTCAGAGCCTGCAATGCATCTGTCTGGCTCTTGAGGAGAGACAGATTCCTCTGAGTGCAAATGTGTTGTGAGTGTGAGTGATGGACAATAAATCCCTGAGCCGAAGATCACCTCGTGTAGACTCCGTTGCATTGGTAATACAAAAAAATATCTCCATACTCAAATGCAAAATGGGAGGATGCTCATCGACATGTGTGACGCTGGGCCACTGGTGGAAACTCCAAATTCCCTGAGAGAGAGCTGTTGTCTCCACAGCATGACAACTCAGTTGTTTCCATTCTTCACGAATAACATTCTGAATCGACCTCCAACCGGAATTCTGTGAGGAATTGAACAAAGTATAAAATGTGAATCGTCACGTTCAGACACCATAGCGCAACTGGGATACTATGTTCCCCCCCCCCCCACACACACAGCGGTCCCATCGGAGGAGACCCAGGCTGGGCCACACGAGGCAGAGAAGGAGTTGGACGCGGTGGAGGCGGAGGGCGAGGACGAGGAGGCCATGGGGGGCGGCAGCCCGGGAGCAACCGCCCCCGTTGAGGGGACCCTCGCCGAGTTCCTGCAGCGGCACGACACGGCCATCATCTACCCCGAGGACCCCGATGAGGTGTCCGGAGGGATGCCAGGAACGCCCGAGACTGGCGTGCGAGATGACAACGGTGAGCAACGCACGCGCGCCCTTCTGCTGGCATCAGAGTAGCCTCACGCTCAAACACACTTTGGGCTGTGCCCGTCACGTGCGGAGGTTCTGAGGCAGCCGTGGAACATCTGAGGCAGTCTCCCTCACCACTGTTGACTTCCCAATCCAGCAAGTTAAAGTTTTCATGTTAATTTTATATATATGGATTACGGCCCTCAATTTGACAGTGTGAAGTTTTTACTGAGAGAGGTGAGCATTGGAATAAGGCAATACAACAGAGAGCAGTGGACAAAAACACTTGAGATATCGTATTGACCGTTCAGGAACGTAAGTGGCGCTTGGCCAGGACGTACTGCTAGACGAGATGATGGCTAAAGGATGAGACTGGTGATGGAATTGGAGCCAAAGGAGGGAACAAAACCTGGTAGGATGCCCACCGCAGAGATGGAGCGATGAAATTGGCTGCTGTGGAGGATCAAGAAGGACTGTGGCATTGCAGGAATGTGTGGCCTTCATCCAGCAGTAGATTCATGATGGCCGCTGATGATGAGTGCTTATGAGTCTCTGTGTATTTTTAATGTGAAACTTTTAAGCATTTTTTTACCACTCGGTACAATAAGTACATCATGTATGCACAGACTATGTATTTATAGGGGGCCATACTGCAAGCCAAGCCAGATGCTACATTCCATGTAAATTAAACTATGATAAGACATTAAGATGCAATCCATTATATAATACCTTGCATGTTACCATTACTCTCTTGACTAATTAATTAGGTGGGCAAATTAGAGTATTTGCTAGGCAATGGCTGCCTTTGCCTTCTGCAGATTCCACAAGCGCAGCCTGTAATTACACATTTTTAATATTTGATGGTATTATACAGTTAATTACTGGCAATGAAGAAGGCAGTCTTGCATCAAGATACGTCTATTCCTGTGGAAGGTGATAGTTATATTTCCGTAATTCTGACATTCATAACTTTAGCATATTCAATGTTAGGCCAACGTGACGGCACATTTAGAAGCCGCAGTTCTAAAGAAGCAAAAATGGCACAATGCTCCCAGAGAACAGGCTGCTATTTGGAAGATGCTAATAACCTGCCTCGTCCATGGCTACAATGTGAATGTGAAAACCCCTTGATAGATTCTGAGCTGTAGAAGTAGTATAATTAATATGTAATGATTCATCGTGTTGGCTTGGCTACATTGTTTCCGAGCACTCTCTCTCATACTGCTGTTAACACACACTTCACTAAAAATGTACTGCATATATTAGAGCACAATGTACGAATTACCCCTGCCACAATAATGCATGGTAAAGATTATAAATAAACTCATTGAATTATCTTTAAATAATTTTTTTTAAAACTTATACAGCTATAACAATGCTTCAATACTCCTACCATATTCCAGTCATCGCAGATTCTAGTATGAGCTGCTCATGACCAGACTTCATATTCTTTGGGTCTTTCGGTAAAGTCACGTAGATAGGTTCAAAGAAAATAGCAAAAACTACGACGTTTCAATCGCAACACAAGCAGTCGTCATCAGAAAAAGGGGGTTAGCTTCTAAAGACAAATTTTAAACCTTTATAAACAGTTGGCCTTTAGACGCTAACCCCGTTTTCCTGATGACGACTGCTTGTGTTGCGATCGAAACGTCGTAGTTTTTTTGTTATTTTCTTTGAACCTATCTACGTGAATTCTAGATTTAAAGCTTTCGTGACTCCAAGGATCCATACTCTTTGGTTCTATCTACGTGACTTTACCGAAAGAACCAAAGAATATGAATTCCTGCAGTCACGAAAGCTTTAATTCAAGATTTAATGACCAGACCTTTGTTAATTAATTTACTATGCTCTCATTATCCTCTTTCATTGATCCTAAAAAAGAAAAGCAACAATAAAAAATAACAATTATGCACGTTCAGAAATTCCTTTCAAAAGGAAATGTGAAGAAAAAATACTAGCAACTATTGTTATGCCATCATGTGTTTCTGCGAAGGGTGTGTGTCCATGCATGCGAGTTTATGTTGTCCTGTCGAAGAAAAGTGTTACTGCAGTAAGCGCATTGCAGTAGGAACCCAGTGATATTAGTTTTTATCCCTCTTACGGCAACATCGGTGGCAAAAAAAATTTTCACCAATCCCGAGTTCTCCCCTTAAGTTAACCCGGCCTTAAATTAGTACCCTGGTGCAGTGTGTAGACGTCAGCACTTGGAAGACAGGCAGCGGGGCGCGTGGTTTTCCCGGCCACACTACCTCCTCGTGTGCATCATGCTCCTCAGCAGCACTTTCCCCCTACCATCTGTTAAAAGGCTACATACTAGAGGGGGGGGGGATCTTTACCTCTGTGCATTGTCGCGTGCCCAGGGACTCCAGACGCGTTCGCGGGGCTCCTCGCCTGCCCCTACTGCAACCGGGGCTACAAGCGGCTCAGCTCCCTGCGAGAGCACATCCGTTACCGGCACGAGCGCGCCATCAACGACACCGCCGGCGGCCTCGCCGATAGCCACAAGCAGCAGCGTGCCCAGGTGATGACTTGCAGCGTTCGCAGGGCACGCGCAGTGGCCGATGCACGCACGCCTCCCTCCCCCGCCTTGTATCCGACAACTAGGTAGCGCATTGCCCGCGGTGTACAAGCTCGTACCAGACGCACCGCCGCTGTCGTTATGCCTGCCCTACGACTGATAGATACGCACCGGGGGGAAGGAGGACACTCAGGACACAGGCCTTGCTTGCCTATGCTCTGATAAAGGGTTATTGCTCGAAATGTTAATCTGCTATATAATTCGCAGATTTTTTTTTTATATATATACCTGCAATTTACTTTTGTTTGAGCTAATTTCTTAACGAGTTTCTTTTGTATCTACTGCTGAAATAGTCCTCCGTGTCAGTGTGCCCTCTGTTCTCCTGATTCGAAGGAAATCCTTACAGTCACAATACACATATATAGCACATAGATAGATATTTTCTACTCTTCTTGCTTTATAGTCATAACCAGGATGGGCTGTGCGGTTAATTTGAACTTTACTAAGAGCTACCTGTGGAATTTCTCACATGCTGTTCCATAGATATCTATTACTGGTAGGAACGAAGTTGTAATACTGGTAGGAACGAAGTTGTAAACTGAGTGTACCAGCCTGCAATAGATTAATGTGTCCGTCCGTCCGTCCCCTTTCAATACTTTAACGAAGTGAAATCTCGTGCTGTTGGGTGTAAAATCAGCAATAGACAGCGCAGAGACTTGTCCTACCAGCCCACCCTGCAGGGACCTGTTTTATTAAGCCTCTGTAAAGTAGTAGGTGGCTGTAGGGAGTATGATTGGTGCAAACAGGACCTGTGGAGATGGTAGCTATGGTCATGGCTCAGTGGGAGAGCGTTTCATGGTGGGCAGCAGGGAACAGACCCAAACTCTGAAATGCTATTGAATTCTGATTTGCTACATATTTGCCAAATCTTAGAAAAATGTTCTTTCAGAGAAAAGAAAATCCTCCAGTCTAAAATAAGGAATATGTTTTTAGTCGGTTGAGCCACTTCCATAGTCATCGTTCTTGTTAAACGTTGGATAGAATTTTGGTTGATTCACTTACCAAACTCTTATTGTGGTGCAATTTCCTCAGTCAGGGTGTTCTCACATGCACAGTATCCCACGATGTTCTGTGGTACAATATTATCTTCTTGCCTGCTTTGGACAAAAAATATACTTTGATTTATTGTATGACAGCAGCATAATTTTAATATTTGGGCATTTACATTTATAATAAACTGGTTGGTGTTATACAGTTATTATTAGCAATTGCTTCTGTGAATTATAGTGAGCATACATCAGAAATTCATTTTTAAGTCCATTACAATTTTTCAGCCTTTTGACAAAGAGGTACAGTTAATGGAGTTAATTAAAATGCACAGTGTTTACATCAGGAAAATGACTCATTAATCAATTCCTTTTTTAGATCACTGGGGTTATAAATATAGTTTTTTTCCAAGGCGGACCCTGGAAATACCGATATATGTGAGAAGTAATTGCTTTAGATGTTGTAATATTGTTCTATATTCTTTGTACGATTTTGTGAGTAGTCAACAGTTGTCTCATGGAATTGCCACAGTAATGTGTAATGACAATCATTGATTCAGCACCACCAGTATAAATGAAAAACCACCATACACTTTATTCAGTGAACTTATTTTAAAACAAAAATTCATTAATGTATAGAGCCACATTCAGGGTAGTTTTAGTACTCTTTTTTACTGGCAGTTGGATGTCACTAATAATCTTTGCAACGTCTTGAAAGCACGAGCAGTAAAAGCAAAGAGTTACTGAAGTTTATATATAACAGTTTGTTCCCAACACCTTTATTTACAGAGTCAATCACAGAGCACTGGGAACCGGAAATTTAAGTGCACAGAGTGTGGAAAAGCCTTCAAGTACAAGCACCACCTGAAGGAGCACTTCCGCATTCACAGTGGTGAGTCTCCTGGGAGTAGCCCTCAAGTTGAGGATGTGTCTGCTCTCCCTGCTAATAATTGGCATTTTTTTTGGAAGCAATAAATGTGACACTACTTACGAGGTGGCAGAACATTGCAGGCCACTTTCCTTTATGGTGTTAAAAACAGTGCTTCTGAAATGTACAAATATATGTATATACACGTAAGTAGAAGTTACGTTGAAATAAAATGTCAATAAACGATTGCATTGGCTAGGATGCACAAGCACACAAAAACGCTCACCACATTCAATATTAACACTGCTTCATAAATGTGATGTACAATAAGCCAAGCACTTTGTCCAATGGCTCTCCACATTGCTGGCAAAGGTCCATTGCCGAAACATTAGCCAAGCATACATTGTCTGTGAATGAGGTAGTTAATGATGAATGTGGAGGGTTTTTTTTTAATTACGTTCACACAGCTTCAGGAAAGAACATGAATGAATGATTGGTATCTTTTATTCACTTTCAAAGCACTGCTTAGATGATCTTCTGACAGGCCTCTCAAAGAGAGGGGAATTAGGCGGCGCAAAAAAATCGTGACCGCTAACCCGCGATTCCTTCGCCTGTCGTGCGCAGGTGAAAAGCCATACGAATGTCCCAACTGCAAGAAGCGTTTCTCCCACTCGGGATCCTACAGCTCTCACATCAGCAGCAAGAAGTGCATCGGGGCTCTGCCAGCCAATGGCAGGACACACGGGGGCAGAGCGGGGGCTTCCGCGCAGGCGTCCGCAGCTTGCCTTTCCCCTTCCGGCTCCCCGGCCGCTTGCAGCAGCCCGCCCTCGGAGGGCGCTCGGCTCGTTTCCACGGCGAGCGCCGTGACCGCCGCCGGCGGTGCGGACCTGCACAGGGGCGTGCAGGTGAAGGCGGAGCCGGTGGACTACCCCAACGGGGACTATCGCGCCATGGTGGTGATGGCCTCGCGGGGGCTGTCGGGACTCGTCCCCTTTCTGAACGGCGGCATCCGGGCGGCTCACTGCCTCGGCGTCCCGCCGTACGTGGCCACCGCGACCGCGTCCGGGGCGAAGTCCGGCGCGCGCAAGACGCCCGAGGCGGCGTACGACCCGTCGCTCGAAAAGCGCAACGGCGACTTTCGGGGCTCGAACGGCAGTGGCGAGGTGTTCAAGCGGGAGCATTGCTCGACGACGGCGGCCTCTCCGCCCCACATCTCCGGCGGCGGCAGTGCAGCGGTCGTGGCGAAGGGTGCAGAAGGCCCTGCGCGCATGGAAGAAGACCACGAGAATTGCACGCAGAGTGACGCGGAGGAAACCGGCCGGATGGCTGTCAAGATAAAGACCGAAGCCGCAGAACCTGAAGACCACCAGCACAAGGCGTCCGAGATGGAGAGCCATTTGCCGGTGACCAGAGAGAGGCCCTGCTATGCCTGCCAGTTCTGCAGCGAATCGTTCGCAGGCCCCATTCCTCTCCACCAACATGAGCGCTATCTGTGTAAGATGAACGAGGAAATCAAGGCCGTCTTGCAGCCATCGCCACCACATTCCACTTGTCCCACGCCCAAGAAAAAGACAAAGAACTCAATCACCTCACACACAGCTGGAAAAGCATTGGTTGGAGGCTGCCATGTGCCCACTATTGATGACCAGCTCGCATTGCTGAAGTCATACCTCTACGCTCGAAACATCGAACCAAGCCCGGAGGAGCTCATAAAGATTTCTCTAGCCATGAGCCTCCCGGGTGATTTGTTGCGGCAATGGATGGACAAGAAAGGACCAGTGACAGATGCTGTACCCAGTTACTGCACTTCAGGAAGTTCTCCATCGTACAACATCCAGGAGGCATCACAGAGCCATTCTCCAGCCAGGCAGGGTGTGGGCAGCAGGGGAAGCAGCCCGCTCCAGCGCTCCGGAATGTTCTTGCCGAGCAGTGATGGCATTCCAGCACCCACAGCACCGACGTCATCCCCGCACGGAGGGAGCGCGTGCGTGAGAAACGGCCACCCCAATGGCCTGACCAACGGGCTGCAAGATCAGTGCGAGCCACTCGACCTGTCCGTGCCAAAACTGAGCCAGGTGAAGCGAAGGGGCAAGGAGTCCCCCCCCAGCCACCGTTTGGGTGGACACGGTGGAGAAGAGCAGCCGTTAAACTTGACAACCGGCACAGGCGTTTCCAAGTCAGTGTTAAACTCCTTTCATAGTGCGAAGGCCTCGCCGACCCACAGCATCGATGATCTTCCTGAAAATAAGCCTGTTATAAGCGTGGCATCCGTAGCAAGCTATGCTCCCGGCGGTCAGGTGTTCACAGGCTTTCCCCCACCTCTGGGCTTAATGCCGACGCTCCACATGGGCTTTCCAGGGCTGGGGCATTATGGAGGGATGGACACAGGTTCTTTTCTTCCGAGAATCCCGCCCTATGGAGGCTTGGCAGAGGCAGCATCCTTGACTGATGGACAAGACAGAAGAGGCCTGCAGAGACGACACCTCACACAGGTGAGCTGTGCAGATAATAGGTTTTGGGGACCATAGAGATGTGTGAATGCATTTGCCTATGAAGACATTGCATTATTAGTATTAAGTGGCAGACTCCTGTAAAGGCTGGTTATGCTAAACGGAACTTAACCGATATTCTTTGAGATGCTGCCATTTGGCTTTTCGCGTTAAAGAGTCACTTTCACCCTGGTAAAAGCAGTTTTTACCCTGGGGTGACATGGGGGTGATGTACATCCCCATTGGCATCTCTGGTATGGCCAGTATTTCCATAGAACAACCACTGTTCGGCCTCCTGCAAAGCAGTGGACATTTTACAGACACTGAAAGGATGATAGGCTGATTAAACTCCCAACCTGGGTTCAATCTCACGATGTGTCGATTGTGAGTTAATCTCTCGAGCTGCCGACATCATCCGGCCAAATGTTCACACATTAATGCACTGCACACCAGTGTCAATTTGTGGCTCGAGGCATGAGGAGGCCAACGGCAAAGTTCACCTTTGGATTTGCAATCACGGACGATGCGTTCAGGTGGACCAATTGGTAATTTGATTTGAGCACAAAGGCAGCGAGCGTGCGCGCGTGGTGATGCACCAGCGCTGGGCTCCCACCAGACCAGGCCTCCTGGGAAGCCTCACGGGCTGCGTGTTGGCCATGCGGTGGAAAGAAAAAATGGCTTTTGTTGAAGCCACCACCAGTGCATTCCAGTTTCTCACTGGATCCACTTAGACGTGAAACTGAAAAACCCGAGGCCGACTTTGTTTTGTCCTCAACCAGGAGTAATAAACTAACACTGCTGTACACTCAATGCATATATATGTACTTTGTAGTTGAATCGAGAAACGTTGCCCTGCGGCTATTTTAACTGAACGTAATGTTGTATCTAATTGGAAGCATTATAGAGGCAATCGTGCTATATACTGTATGTGAGGGGATGTTAAGCTTAATTAGTATATATTTGTAGTTTTTATATATCACAATTCACAGGATTGACCATAAAATGTAGGCAGTGGTGTGGGATGCTGTTAATTACTATTTTCACCTTAACCTTATCCAGCGCAGGCAAAATCTAAACGTGCATTAACGCCTACCCCTAAACCATATATGCGACAAAATATGTGTTAACTGTTAATAAATTAGTTTTTGAGACACTTAAATAAAATTCTAACTGAATTAGACATAATTGTGCCATATGTATATTTAACTTTAAATTGCGCCCTATCAGCCATTTGGCAACTACAAATTAAATGCTTAATACTAACTAAAAAAGCATCACGTTCAAATTCTATGAAATAATTATCAGGGATTCAATTAACCCTCGCGAACAGGTATAATGTAGCCCTTAAACATAATGAGGCAGCAGTCACTGATGAAAGATGTGATAATGCAGAGAAAAGGGCATTTTGGCAGGGCATTCTAGCATCATGTCAATGCATTTGAATGGTACTGCCAAAAGCAATACTAATTGCAGGCTATTGAAAACTAATTTGACATCCTTCAGCACATTTACCTCAGCCCTGATATCCAAAAGTCACGCGATTCTGAATGCTGATAATGGGGTTCTTTACTCAGCGTGGGTTGGATCACGCACATTTCATCGTGCACGAAATAATCCAAAGACCTCAAGATGGTTAGTAGGTAGAAGTACATCAAGTGTGATCCTGACCTATCCTCATAGATTTGTATTCCTACATCCACACTCGTTAAAATAATTGGCCACACATACCGATGCAGGCTATAATAATTAAATCATGTACGGCCGGCCCTTCATCCACTGCTGGATAAAGGTCATGGGGATTTTTTTGAGTGTGCACTTCACGAAGCTACTCCATGTAGTTTGATCAAGAGGGTGGAGGGTAGCCCCACAGGACCAGATCAGATATCACGTTTAGATTACTTAGATTGTTTTGCTGCTATAAATTTGCACGCGATAAGCCACTTTGTTGAACCGTCATTTGTGGCCAGGTCGCTTCTTAAAAATACGTTAATAGCTCCGTGGGCTTTACCCGGTAAGATAAACAATAGTTTAGTTTTATTTGTATATTTTTGTTAAGTGATTTGTTTACCTTGCTTATACTTAGCATTCCTATCGTGTTTTTGTACTGTTTGTTGTTGTAACGTTCTGAGCCACCCTGACTGGACATCAGTGAAAATGAGCTTTATAGGTCATCCGATTCCTCCAGTACGAATAAAATATTATGATTCTGATCACTCACCACTGATGTTACCCTTTGCCGGGTATCAAACTTAGGTCGCCGGGTTTATAATGCAGTGTTCCAACTACTCTTGTCACCACTCCATTGCAAGACCCTTGTGAATAAGACTCGTTGAGTCATTTATGATTCAAGAAAATATTATAGTAAAACTAATAAAAGAGACTCATTTAAATCTGTCATCAGGTTACTGCAAAGGCTTAGCAAACATCTGTGTGCCAACTAACAGACCGTTTGCGATTTCCGTGCGACGAGTTCGAGATAATCACGCTCGCAATCGTGTCTGGACAGGCGGACTCGCCGGAAGAAGGCATGGGGAGTCCTTTGGGCTCAGACGAGGTGACGGACTCCGAGTCGGGTCTCTCTGTGCGCAAGCGTCAGAAGAAAGGGGAGAGTGCACCGGGGGGTTCGTACTCGTGTGACCTGTGCGACAAAACCTTCCACAAGAGTAGCTCGCTGCTACGGCACAAGTACGAACACACGGGTAAGTCCCATCGCGTGTGCCGCGTTCAACAAAGTGTATCGCAGCAGGCCTTCGCAACACTGTTCCTTAAACGTACCTTTGCGTCGCGATGTCACTGGAAACACAACGAGCAGCGATCTTGATTCATGGACAGAATTGTAATGTCGTATTATTTGAATAAATTTTTTTTAAAAAAAATATTAAAAGAATTCCAATTCAAATTCTGGAGTTGCTGTTTTGCATATTCATCTGACAAATTAGGTAATTGATTCATGATCCATTTTCACGTGATTAATAATGTGCTTAAATTACTTTTCATTAGCCACGTGAAAATAATATCGGGTTGCTGGAATGCCTGCGATACTGCTTTGCAATTGAAATATTTGCTTGTCCATTGATTATTACATTTTTTCTTACACAAATGCATATTGGTGCGGTGTCTTCTTAAAAATAATATTGCTCGTTATGAAAGTCAACTAAGCGCATGCCACTTTCTACCTCCGATTAGTATGGTTGGCTACGTACGATGCAGCAGAAGTTCAACATACACAATCACATATTATAAGGATCGCCTTCGTGAACGGGGGTTTTAACACGACGCTCGTTCTTGCTCTTTTTTTACGCATTTCAGGAAAGCGTCCGCACCAGTGTGATGTGTGCAACAAGGCCTTCAAACACAAGCACCACCTCATCGAGCACTCGCGGCTGCACTCGGGGGAGAAGCCCTACCAATGTGACCGCTGCGGCAAGCGCTTCTCTCACTCGGGCTCCTACTCGCAGCACATGAACCACCGCTACTCCTACTGTCGGCGCGGAGAGGGCGATCGGGATGGCGAGCCAAACATAATGGGATTGGAGCGAAGCATTATGGGAGAGGAGCCCAGCGTGCTGGGGGAGGAGCAAGGGATGCTGGGAGAGGAGCTGGGCATTCTGGGAGCGCAAGGGGGTGCCTCGGTGGTGGAGGATGCCGACAAGGGGGCGGTCGGACAGGAGGAAACCATGATGGAAGAGGAGGGAGGAGAAGAGGGAAGTGCCACAGAAAATGGATCAAAATGTTCCCAAGAGGAGGCGTGGGGAGAGGAGGAAGAGCAGTGTACGAAGGTGAATGATTACGAGCGACAGGGCTTTGAAGACGCCGCAGACGAGGAGGCCGAGGAAAAGTGTTCCGACGCAGCAGCAGAAGAAGGGAGAGCAAGTAATGAAGATGAGGAAATGGAATTGAGCGGGGAGTTGGACGGAGGCACTACACAAGTAGGACAGACGCAAATTAAGTGTGAAGATGACGACGACGATGATGAAGATGCAAGCAGCAGCTTAGGGGCCTCTCGATGATTTTCCAGCTCCTTGCTGTTGGAGCCGTCTCACTGGCCTAGAGGCCCAAGACTACCATTATTGTTCTAACCATTGCTGTGCCTCAGCTGTCCTCTTAAGTTGTTTTTTTTCCTTGTTGAGTGAAAGGATGTGCCAGTGATGTTCGAGCGAATCAATGTGCCAGTGTTGTTTGAAAAGCATTTGATTGCAAACTTGCCATATCGGGCTAAACTTCTTGCAATTCAACAGGCTCTCTTGGACTTTGTTGGACTTTTGGTTTTACAAAAAGAAAAAAGTATGTTGTACCCTAACCTGTTAATGTAGACATTTAAGCATAATACTTTGATCAGTGTATGGTAGATTTTATTTTTAAGTTGTTAAGCCTGAAGGATAAAATGAAGAGAAATTACCTTAAGTGAAAAAGGTAGAAAAGCCTTTAATATGCAGAAATTTTTGTACCATTTTTATCTGTGTGCCACTCTTTTGTAAAAGCAGTGTTATTTTTTAGGCAAGCCAGTTAAGTAGCTTATACTTCCAACACTACATCAGTATTCAGTTCATGACATGCACCGGTGTTATTTTATGTAGCCAGATTTTGTGCATTGTACATTGTTAGTGCAATTTCACATTGTCGCCATCACACTAAGTCTTCAAATTAAACTCCCAAATTAGTGGTTATTTTTCTTAAACAATGCTTCGATAACTTTTCTATTTATGTTTCTTAATTGTTGTTTTCATCTCTGTAATTTATTTCATACTTTAGAGTAAACTAGATGGTTTTATAAATAGATGCTAGAATTTTATGCAGTTCATGGAGAAAAAAATGTTTCACTCTTCTCCCTGTGATATGTACTTGCCGTAACATTTACATGCAGTGTTAACCTCTGTTTTTTAAATTGTTGTTTATCTGCCCAACAGTATTTCCCAGCTGCCCAACCCTTTTTAATGACCTTACATTTCATCGCAGTTTGTTTACTGATGCAGCCAAATGGCTGACACTTGAATTTGTAATTTTAACTGTGGAAATAAATACCAGCCACACAAGGCCCCCCCTTGTAGCAACATTACTTTTTCCCTCTAACTATTCGGTCTGTGCTTTTACTCTCAGCTTGGATTTCAGTTGCCAGGACATCTTGGCATAATAATAATGTATCAAGTCAAGGGTAAAGTCACTGCTTGTCTGCCCAATGCACAGCCCGTTAGCGATTAACCAATCTTCTTCCCGCACCTCCTCCTCTGCTAAGCATCACTTTGGTTGTGCCTTCTGTATATCAATTGTTATTTTTGTTCATTTTTCCCAAGCCAATGTGTCCTATTGACCAAACCCCATCTGCTGTCAGTTTTTTTTCTTTGCTAAGTTTTGGATGGGCCAGAAATGTCTATATTTTGACTTGTTTCGGCATCACCGTTATACAGTATTAACATTTATTTAATTGACAATAAACTTTCCGAAACACCTCTTCATACTCTGGGTCAGTCTTCTCAGTTTCTTTAGGTGAGATTATTGAGTGCCAAAGGAGCAAAAAAGCCGCTGCTTGTCACTGCTACTTGCTGAGGTAGGTAATGTTAAGGGCAAAGGTCAATATGTAAGAAAAAAAGGACCAAACCTATGTGCTCCCATGATCGAGAACACGTGCATTTTATTGCTCATTAAACTTAACACACTATTTTAATGAGGCATGTAATCTGCACCTTGTCATACTATCTTGACATGCGGATGGTTCACAGGCTCACAAAAGCAATTAAGAAAATCCCTCTGATGCTTTTCATTAAGTAAGTTTAAAAAATCCTGTCGACACCAGTGAGAGCAAAGTTAAAATTATTTATCTAAAAATAAATATGAAAAGTGCCATATGATAACGAGCTCATTTCCATCAAAATAAGCGGCTGTTAGTCTCTAATAGTTCCGCACACTCGTTCCCTGGTAGAGAGGGAAGAAAAACCCTTGACGCCGAAATGGCCTCGTGTTGAACTTTTGTGTCCGGGGAGCTAATAACATACTGAACATATCGGACGATTAATTTTAACAAATTTTGTAATGGACCGAAATGTTACATTTGGAATACGTTACCGTTTGATAAAAATTTCCATAAACAGCATGTTCGTTTTAGGGCTCCTATCGTGTATTTGTATTTAACTCTTTAATGGTTTAAAGGTCACATTTTCTTACAAATGAGGCAATCTACTTGACCAAATCTCTTCCAACTTAACCCTTCAACTATTTTAAGACTTAACATTTTCTCAATATCTCGCTTTTGTTTTCAAGTAGTACCACAGGTCCGGCAGGTACACCTGTACAATAAAATACAAAATAAAATGCAGGTCGCATTCCCGAATTGGTTACATCATGACCGCAGACTAAAAAAAAAAAATCCTTGTTTCCCCAAGCCTGATAGTAACTGCATAGACGCACGGCCCCGAGTCTGATCATCTTTTCGTGAGACACCCGTGTGCTGGCTACGTTTCGAGACTTGTGTGCTGCTACGGTGGAGTGTGGGGGGTGGGGCGTGCCTGCTCCTGTCTGCGGGGGCATCCGGAGGAAGCGTTAAATGCCCGACATTTACACGTGGCCGCTGGACACAACCGTTTGGGGGACGCGCGTCTGCGTGCACCGCATCCGAGAAGTCTCTGCAATTGCGTTGCGAAGCGTGCGGCAAGGGGGCGCATTGTACTATTACATCATAAACATCGTGGGGGGCGTGGGGGGCGGGTGTAATATCAACACTGCAATCGAGTTGTAAGTTATTTTTTTAAAGCGCACGTAGTTTTAATGGGACTCTTAAAATAAACATTAATTGTGGGAGATTGTTTTAACAGCGTTAATATTTTAACCACCTGATTCAATAATAAAATAGTATTTGAATGTAAAGGCTCTTCAATCATGTCTATAGTACTGTATATCCAGATTTAGTCCAGATTTAGTGCAGCTTTAGGGGCACTGCAGTGGCGAGACGTTGCCTACCATTGCCTGGCATACAGGAGGTCGTGGATTCCATGACGCTCGCATATTTGGAGTTTGCATGTAAAGTATGAAGCCGTTTTTTTCCTTCCACATTTAGAAACGTGCGTTTATAGTATTTGGCTGCTATACATTTCCACGTGATAAGCCACTTCGTTGAGCTTTCATTTGTGGCCAGGTCGCTTCTGACAAAGAGCTTCATAGTTGAGTGGGCCTTGCCTGGTAAAATAAAAACAAGTTTAATAGTTAAGTTTACCACTGCAGTCTCATCTCTTCACAGCCAACGGAGAAGTTAGGGATACATAATCTAGCTTCCTCCTTGTGTTTTCTAGTAGGACTGTGTGTTGTTCAGCATCATGTCCGATGCCTAACACTGCCATGCGCTTGGAAACGTCTTCAGTTTCTGAGAGCTCTAAATTCCTGAAGAAGCTTCGAACACGTGGAACGAAACGTCGAACGTCACGCCGAGCAACACGCAGTACAAATCTGACAACACATCGGAGATCCATAAGCACAAGCGCGGAAATCTATGCAGTAACTGATATGTATTTACAGAAATGTCTTCTACACTGATATTAGGCAGAAATACATTCAAATCACGCAAGAAGCGACAATTTGCCCTTTTTTTTACCCCACCAAATGTCAGCGCAACCTGTTCTTTTGCCAACGTGTAATGTAGGAGCATCATGATCACTCTCGTATCGCATTAGCATAACGTTACAACACAGAACTGTCCTAAAAGCAAAAACAAGGCGTGTATTTATCCCACCACCACCCCCCACGCCACACAAAATATACCAATACATTGAGGGCATGGGTCCCGGTGCTCATTTTTTCGCTAAAGACTCACGGCCGCCTTTGGCCTCGCGTGTCCACCGCTGCCTGTGCCGTTCTTCTTCCTCCTCTGCGCGCACCTTGCAAGCCACGGTCACAAGCAGCAGGGCCACGGGTCTGCGCGCCTGACCACAAACCTCACATTTGTTTTCATCTGCCGGGAAACAAAAGTCCCTCGCAGCAGCAACAACAACAGCAACAACAGCAACAGCAGCTGCCGCCTGCTTGCTGTTTCCTGTAGAACACGGCAACATAGCACGCGCAGATGTGTTGCCAGCCAACAGACGATGGGGATAGAGCGTGAGGGGCAATGCCTCAAGGCGTTAGTTGGTGCCACACCACAGGGCCCCGGCAGTATAATGAGGCCGCCTCGGGTGCTGCACCGGAGGGGGGTGGAGGAGCGGGGAGGGGTTCCTCTCCAGGAGGTGCCACTAAGTTGGAGGTAGCGCTCTCCCTCCCCTTCGTGTATCTTAAAGTGGGAAGCATGTGGGCTCGCAACGTCACCTTTTTTGGTGGTCCCACAGGCCGAGTTTAAAAGGGCAAATCTGTGGGATTTCGCTTGTGTGCCGTGTCAACCTAATTCCTAGTGACATCAAAGCCGTGGAACAAATCTCTCTCCCTCTGTGGCAAAACAAAAGAGTTACAATGGCAGTGGTGCTCGGGCAATGAGAAAGCTTTCCCAGAAATCGAGGCTGGTGGTGGGGAGGGGAGGGGTGGCAGAAGCAGAGGGGCGGAGGGAAGGGGCATTTCATGGCTCTGGTCCTCAATAAAGGTTAATTGCTACATCGTCGATTCACTTTTACAAGTGCGGACGTTTGGAATTGGGGTAATGCGTGAATACATGGACCCTGAGAATGAATTGCGTGTCCATTTTCTTTTTCCTCCACCGATAATAAAGTAAAAATGCAGTGCTTAATGTGCTTGCAGCTTGACAGGTCCCTGTAATTATACTGTTCCAAGTGCTCATTAAGAAATGCCACTCACCTTTAAATGCGCAATCAGTTGTCAGGTGACATCCCCACAGATTAATATTCTCAAAAAACCTGCTGCGGATGACAGTGGCGCAACTGTTAAGTGAGACATGAGTCATAAATAATCCAATATATGCCCTATTGTGTGGCTGAGTTTTAATGATCTACAGCAATGAGGTTTGCTCAAATGCTTGTTAATCAGCCGCAGAGTGTACTTCTCACAAATAACAGTAGAGCTTCTTGTAGTGCCATCGATTGTTTTGTGTCGTCTGATTGCTTTCGTGCCAGCCAGTCTGTTAACTATGAGGCGGACGATGCAGCGTGGAGTGTAACGGAAGAGTCGGGCTTGGAATTGCGAGGCAAGACATCAGCAGTGGTGTTATTGTCAATGTACTGAGAGCAACGTAATTGTAATACAAACCGCCACTTCTTTCAAATGCTTCTTGCCGTTGTTTTTTTCACACCTGATGATGACTGTTTGTGTTACAGTCGAAACGTCGTGAGAATTTTATTGTTTAATATATATTTTATTATTGCATTGTTTCCCTTCAACGTGACTTTACCGAAAGAACCAAGAATATGAATATCAACGTAATTGTGTTAATAAATATTTGTAGGTAGAAAGGTGTTGACAGAACCGCGAGTCTTTTACAATTCCCCAATTTCTGATGTACAATTCCCCATTTCTGGTGCATTGATCCGAACGCTTACGAACAATGGGTGATGACGAAGACTTTTACAGGCCAATTCTTTGTTTTTGTTCGCTTCACAAAAGGTGGAAGCCTCGAGGCTCAGCGGATGCACTAAGCTCACACCGCTAAAGTGTTGCTCGGAGGAGTAAGCAGACTTTCTACATCGTCAATTGCAGCGTCGTTTGTGCAGCGGTACCGTCTCATGCCGGCATTGTCTGGGTGTTTGTAAAGACACCTTAGGAGTTGCCTCTTCAAGGAGCACTGCTTCGGAAAAGTTTATGCTGACTCGTTGCCAGAACCCGCAGCTGGAATGGAATCCCATTGGCTGTGATGACCCCCGCAGAAGCTGGCAAAGATAGATTCATTAGAGGGCACGATCTCTGACAATGCGCTTCTTTGACCAATTTGGCAATTGCACAAGGCCACCAAACCCCCCCCACATGAGGTAATATTATCAGCTGTGATCAATCCGCTGCTGGAATAAGGCTTCCCCAAGCCGTGGACATCTCTCATGCTTTTGCGAGGCAACAATCAATCTAACACGTGCAAATACACCGGGTTTTTTAAAATTTATATTCATATAACACATATGACACAAGAAATGTTTGTGCGGCAGATTTCATTCTTTTTGCAAGCCTATGCAAGAAGGAGGGGGAGAATGCAACCATTTTACTTCAATCAATTTTCCAGCTGTAAACCAGTGGCTGGTTTCACCATAATTAGCTTCTGAAACCCGAGGGACGCATTGGCGATCAACTTTCAATCTGACACTGTACCGCGTCATTCAAAAGCAGTGGGTTTTTTTTTGGCGGGACCTTTGGTTTTTCTCACTGCACATCAGCGACCTTTTGAAATTTCCATCAAGCGTAACAGAAGCGTGCATAAAAATGATCGGAGCGTCTTCGTGCATCGCTTTGGCATACGCCGAAACGCCAAAGACTCTTCAAGGGGTTAATGGACGAGTCGACTTTCGAGGTTAGTTCAAATGTGCACATGTTACGAGTCACC